TCAGCTTGCAAACACACACACAGGACACACAAACAGACAATCGGTGTGCGTGTACACTGCTCTTTTTTATACCTATGTGCATAAAATGAGAAAGCTACATGGCTGTATCCAAATTATTCTAATGCTTTTTTGCCCCTCATCCAAAAAAGAGGGAGCAACTGTAACTACCCTGATAGTAGCATAAACACCCAACCGACTCCTCCTCCCCCCCACCCCCACTTCTGTCTACTTCCATCCTCCCTCCTTTGTTACCCGGGCCTATCAGTGCAGAGCAGTGGTCTGTGAAGAAATTCCCAATATCTAAATTTACACACTGTATCAATCTTGTTTAATAGACTGGAAAGCTTATAGCCGCCGTGGCAAGCCGGCAGAGAGGGCAGTGGTGATAAATTGTCGGTGTGCTGGCGACAGCCGCATGTGATGTATAATGAAATATTTATGATTTATCCCAGCTAATAAACTGAAATGAAGTGCATGATGTATGGGAACAGATGGGCCCTCTATTGATGCTGAGGTGGAGCAGCAAGAGGGGGAAAAGGAGATAGGATGACTGGGTGCTTGAGAGATGTTTAGGAGGTAAATATGAGGGGTAAGGATGAGACTAAAATAATAAAATAAGTGTTTTTTTGTGTGTTTGGCTGATATTGGAGAAGAAAAACAAGCGTTTACGTGGGATGAGTAGAGGAATATTAGATTAGATCAAAGAACAAATAAATGTTGGGAGGAGAGACGTACAGATGATTGCATGAAAATGTCTTCTAATAAAATGCAGTTCCATTCTTAAATGCGTTGTTGTGTTTATTTTGAGGAGGACAGCTGCGTTTACTTCCTTTTACTGACTCTATATTTCACGAACAGATTGTTGTAAAGTCTCAACCTTCCTAACTGAGCTGTACCCGGGATGTTATGACTGCTAAAGTTATTGGTGTAAAGCCTTTAACCAATAACCAAACAATTCAGTCACAACTAGATTTATTTGAGGATTCCACAAGCATCAGTGTTTTTGACCCAATAATCCTGATATTAAATACTCATCACTGCACGCTACGTAATACCTAGTATTTAAAGGATACTTACTTGGTACATATCTGGTACGTATCAGGAGCATATTAGGTATCAGCACAGACTTTGTATTACAGTGCCTTGCGAAAGTATTCAGCCCCTTGAACTTTTCAACCTTTTGTCACATTTCAGGCTTCAAACATAAAGATATAAAATTTTAATTGTTTGTGAAGAATCAACAACAAGTGGGACACAATCGTGAAGTGGAATGAAAATTATTGGATGCGTCAAACTTTTTTAACAAATAAAAAACTGAAAAGTGGGGCGTGCGATATTATTCGGACCCCTTGCGTTAATACTTTGTAGCTCCGCCTTTTGCTGCAGTTCCAGCTGCAGCTCCAGCTGCAAGTCTCTTGGGGTTTGTCTCCATCAGTTTTGAACATGGAGACACTGAAGTTCTGCCCATTCTTCTTTGCAAAAGAGCTCGAGCTCAGTGAGGTTGGATGGAGAGCGTTTGTGAACAGCAGTCTTCAGCTCTTTCCACAGATTCTCGATTGGATTCAGGTCTGGACTTTGACTTGGCCACTCCAACACTTGGATACGTTTATTTGTGAACCATTCCATTGTAGATTTGTCTTTATGTTTTGGATCATTGTCTTGTTGGAAGATAAATTTCTGTCCCAGTCTCAGATCTCTTGCAGACTCAAACAGGTTTTCTTCCAGAATGGTCCTGTATTTGGCTCCTTCCATCTTCCCATCAATTCTGACCATCTTCCCTGTCCCTGCTGATGAAAAGCAGGCCCAAACCAAGATGCTGCCACCACCATGTTTGACAGTGGGGATGGTGTGTTCAGGGTGATGAGCTGTGTTGCTTTTACACCAAACATATCGTTTTGCATTGTGGCCAAACAGTTTGATTTTGGTTTCATGTGACCAGAGCACCTTCTTCCACATGTTTGGTGTCTCCCAGGTGCTTGTGACAAACTTTAAACAACACTTTTTATGGATATCTTTGAGAAATGTCTTTCTTCTTTCCACTCTTCCATAAAGGCCAGATTTGTGCAGTGTACGACTGATTGTTGTCCTATGGACAGACTCTCCCACCTCAGCTGTAGATCTCTGCAGTTCATCCAGAGTGATCATGGGCCTCTTGGCTGCATCTCTTATCAGTCTTCTCCTTGTTACAGATGAAAGTTTAGAGGGACGGCCGGGTCTTGGTAGATTTGCAGTGGTCTGATACTCCTTCCATTTCAATATGATTGCTTGCACAGTGCTCCTTGGGATGTTTAAAGCTTGGGAAATATTTTTGTATCCAAATCTGGCTTTAAACTTCTCCACAACAGTATCTCGAACCTGCCTGGTGTGTTCCTTGGTCTTCATGATGCTCTCTGCACTTTGAACAGAATCCTGAGACTATCACAGAGCAGGTGCATTTATACAGAGACTTGATTACACACAGGTGGATTCTATTTATCATCATCAGTCATTTGGGACAACATTGGATCATTCATAGATCCTCACTGAACTTCTGGAGTGAGTTTGCTGCACTGAAAGTAAAGGGGCCCAATAATATTGCACGCCCCTCTTTTCAGTTTTTTATTTGTTAAAAAAGTTTGACACATCCAATAAATTTCATTCCACTTCACGATTGTGTCCCACTTCTTGTTGATTCTTCACAAAAAAAATAAATTTTATATATTTATGTTTGAAGCCTGAAATGTGACAAAAGGTTAAAAAGTTCAAGGGGGCCGAAAACTTTCGCAAGGCACTGTACAACATGGCTTCTTGCCCTCTACCAGATATGCATCTAGTACATACCTGATATGTAGGATACTGACCTAGTACAGAGGATACATATTGGGTACCTACAGAGTACATACCTGATACCGACAAAGACCAAGCTGCATTAAAAGGTAACTTGTTATCTTGTACATTCCAGGTGTGTACCTGATACTCACCTGGTGCCTGATGAGAGTCTGCGCTGAAGTTAGACTCAAAGCAGTCTGCTCCTCAGATAAATAACGTTATTAACTTACTTTTTATGTACATGAATGTTTCTGTTCAGTGCCCTGAGATTACTTCTGTTGTGACTTGGAGCTGCTGTATATAAATAATCTGAATTGAATTGAATTGTACTCATCAAGTAGATACAATTACATCACTTCGTAGTACATTCTTGATCCATAAATCCCAGGTAAGTGTCCAGTACATACCTGGTATGTATCACTTGCGCAATGGGCTGTATTATGTATTGGTACCTAAATTCTGCTGTATTTTTTTTTATGTTTTACAAGCTAAGGAGCAATTTAAAATAAAGACAGATTTTTAAACTTTTAAAAAGTACCTGTCGAAATTGAACCTACACATGTTGAAGGAACACATGCAAACTTCGCACAACGTCCCAGATGATTTTTAGAACTCGGACTCTCTTGCTGCCGTGTGCATTGAGGGGTACCATAAAATTTTGAAAACTTTATTTCACAAGGGCGGCTGTGGCTAAGTGGTTAGCGCAGTCGTCCTCCAATGCAAGAGTTGGGGGTTCGAATCCACCAGCAGTCAATGCCCAAGTGTCCCTGGGCAAGACACTGAACCCCTCATTCCCTCCGATGTGTGTCCCATCAGTGATAAATGTGATAAAGCTCTGATTAGTATCTTTAGAATGATTTGTTCATTTAGCTTTGTAGAGATCTAGTAGAGTGCTGTATGAATGGGTAAATGATATTTGAGTATCTTGATAAGATGGAAAGGTGCTATACAAGTACAGTCCATTAACCACTGATGTTCATCTTGTAGCCTTCATCAGAATGGAGGGAAGTAATCTGAGAAGCAAGAAAAGTCCTAGGTGGCAAATGGTTATGCTTTTTAGTTATTTGCTCCACCCAAATACTGCATTGCAAGTTAAACCAAGCAAACCTCCGAACTTCATCTTTTCACTACCTACAAAGAAAACGACACAAACAAAATGTAGCTGTACAGTGAAAATGTGTGAAGTGAATTCACATGAAAGATTTGGCAATTGTTTTATGCCGGATGCCCTTCGTGACACAACCTGGGCTCAAATCTGCAACCTCAGGATTAAAAGATCTCGGCACTGACCACGAGCTACTGCAGCCACAATATAAACCCCGAATATCCGGGTACATTACAGACAAAAAACTAATTTTCTATATTTTTTAGCTGCAGCCTCAGTCTTTACCGTTCACTTCTAGTCCACCCCTCTAACCCTGGCTATGACACTCTTGTTAACTTCTTTGCAGCATCTCGCTCACATCCGTCCTCTCGGTACCAGCTGTCTTGAACGCACCACCTGTAATAATCCAAAAGGACATCTTCCCGTTCCATCTTTCTTCACCACCTCTGTCCTTTTTTTCTCTCCCTCCCTCTCCACTCATCCATACTGACCCATTTCCTCTGCTCATCCTTCCCAGACCCACCTGCGCCCCTGTACTCCCCAACACCTGTCCCCCAGACACCTATATAAGTGTGTGTGCATGAGGGGGGAGTTTGAAGGATACTGGGGGATCTTAAACACTCATCCATCCGCTGCACTCTGACTTTCTTTGTCTTAAAAACACACCTACATAGAAAAAGGAGCGCTCTATTGTCTTTTATTTTGTTCTCTTTTTTTAAGTCTTTTCTTATTTTGCGTTCGTTAATCAAGTTTTACTTTCATTTTCTCTTGGTCTCGCAATTTCTAGGTTTTTTTTTTTTTCTACAAGAAGCCCAAAGTACCTAATTATAATAAGTCTTTGTCAGATTTTAAACAAAACTTAGAGAGATTCTTCATGTAAAATACAGAAATCTTATATACTCAGGAGAGAAAAAGCCCTGCCACAGTTGTTGATTTTGCATAATCTGTGTAAATGATGTTTTTAATACAAATAAGAAACATATTTCATATTTTAATCACTTCAGTCATCTTCTGAGCTCACCTTATTCTAAGAAGAATTGTTTTATTGTTAATTTTTTGTCTCGCATGGTTGGATGTTTGGTTTTAGGTGACACAGCGATCTTTAAAGATGGCGTGTTCTGGATCATGGGCCGCACGAGCATTGACATCATTAAGAGTGGCGGCTTCAAGATCAGCGCGCTGGACGTGGAACGTCACCTCCTGGCTCATCCCGACATCACAGGTAAGGGCACTGTGAGTGTTTAGCTCGATAAAACAGCGATTTAATGTGTAACGAGTGGAAATTCACGTGAGAAATGTTAAAGATGTATTTTTTTTTATGTGCAGCACAATTTTTATAATAAAATACCGGAGTAAACAAAACGTTAAGCTGCTAGTGTACATATAATCACTAAGACAAAGTTTTATGTGTTTGACTGTTTTTATGTTTTTAATAAAGTCATCCCATTTACTTTGTTTTATTTTTATTTTTTTATACAGAAATCGTGTTTGTGGAAAATAAACAAATTCCTTAAACTGTTTACTGAATACATTTTCGTTAGGGATTTTGTAGGTTTGATATAATTACCATCAAATTTATTTTATTTGTTTAACTTTAGTTAATTTTTCCAAGCCTCACTGATTGCTAGATTTCCTTTTTTGCACTAGATTGGGTTGAAATTTGCAGTGGCCATCTACTAAACCCTCGGGATAATTAACAAAGAAACTGATGCTGCTAAATTATTTGTGGCGATAACAGACGTAATTATCCACCCAAACAAGTGTTGAATACTGTGATTATTTATTTTTTTTTAAGTTCTGAATCAGAAACTGCTGCAGATCTGATTAAATCTAAACTCAGGTTTTTCTTTGTTAGTTTAAAATTAAACGTAGCAACCTTAAATGTCAACACTGGAGTTTGTATGAAATTATCCAAAAACTTGTATGGTTACAGTGATTATTTTTTAAAAATATTATCCTTGCCCTGTGATGGACTTGCGACCCGTCCAGGGTGTACCCCGCCCCTCGCACAGTGATTGCTGGACATGGGCACCAGCGACCCCCGTGACCCAAAATGGAAGAAGCGGGTAAAAGAGAATGGATGGATGGATGGAAATATTATCCTTATATATATTTTCCTTGAATTGTTTGTTTTGTGGCGTAGATGTGGCTGTGATCGGGGCCCCTGATGTCACTTGGGGACAGAAAGTCACGGCTGTGGTGCAGCTGAGGAAGGGACAGAGTTTGACCTTACCAGAACTGAAGACCTGGGCACGGTAATGTTTTTGAGTCCCATAATGTTGTTTTTATACATCCATACGATCTGTTGTTGATTGTGGCCTTTTTATTTGTCATATACTGTTTTTTGTTAAAACAAACCGGTAGTAAAATTAATAGTACAGTAGTCCCTCGTTTATCGCGGGGGATCCGTACCCTGAAGACCCGCGATAAGTGAAAAACCGTGAAGTAGGAATATTAGTACAAGTAGTAAGTAGTAGTTTATTTTATTATTTATATATATATATATACAAGTGTTTTAAACCCTTCCCACACTCCTGCAATATTCTAAACAATGTTTCTAAACGCTCTAAAAGAGCACAGAATGTCATGATTTCAGCTCCCTGCCTCAATAAAAGCATAACGAAGAGGAATAAAACTTATATATAAGTCGCTTCGTCGTATAAGTCACATTTATTATGAGTCAACGCTGACCCGTCACGTTTATTTAATGGTCAAAGCAGCTTCATTTCGCCTGGGCAGGGCGGCGCCATCCATCCGCTCATCGTGGCCAGAGCCACTAGCTCTCCAGCGTTCCTCCGCCCGCACCAGCTGAGTGAAGCGAGCGCGCACGGGAGGACTCGCTGTTGCAGTTCATCAATTTAAAGCATTAGTCAAAAATTGTGTTATGAATACGCGGGGAACAAAACGTATATAAGTCGCAGGACTGACAAATCTATGCAAAAAAAAACCTGCGACTTATACGCTGGACAATACGGTGCATGTGGCAGGTGACATGCATTCCTTCAAAGAACGGCCCCTAATTCAGACTGAGCGTTTTGCAGCATGTGACTGGTCCTGAAATGTTCAGATCAAAAGGAAAGGTGAGAGAATGACAGGCCACAGATTGACTAATGAGAACCGGATAGAAAGATAGGAGATGAAAAAAGAGGAAGGTTTAAAGGAGGCCACAAATGATTGTTATGGAGGGTTTTGTCCTTTGGGCTAACATTTCTTTCTAAATGTCACTGAAGTTTTTTGTGTGTGCAGCAGGAGGTAGCTGGTGGACATGCAGCTCCTCACTGACACAAACAGAACACGCTTCATGAAAATAGCTCATCGTTCCACCTTTTCGTCACTTTCTAACAACCTGATTTTTTCTTTGTGTGTGTGTGTGTGTGTCCTGCATGCAGTACTTCCTACAACCCGTCGTTTAGTATATTTGAATTCTGTACATGTGCAGGTTTGTGCACATGACAGCTCCATATGGAGTGCTCATGTTACATCCTGCTGGTCCAGTATGGCAGATTAATACCCCTGCCGGTGACCCATGTTCACCCACACATGCATGCGCATACACACGCAGTGTTTGCAGCCAGGGGTTTAGCCAGCGGACGGGTCGTGCCAACACACAACGCACTGCTCAGCCCTGAGAGTGGAGGAGATGGAGGAAGATAAAATGAGACATAAACAAGTAGATGGATGCTCACTCTTCAGTGCCCTGGCTTCAGATGTCAGTCTGAATTTCTGTCACAGCCTCTGCACTGCCTTGAACGCACACACACACACACACACACATAAACACGCTGCCCCGGAGAAATTGGTGACACAGAGCCGTGTCTGTATGCACATACCACATTTTCTTCTCTGAGTCAGGCAGACGGAGACATCTGCTGAAAGGAGCGTTTGATGGCAACCGTATGAGTCATTACGCTCACTCGCACAACAGGAGTGCGCACACTAACACACGCACATGCACACAAACAAACAAACTAGGTTAGAAGATTATAAAAAGCGCTCCAGGCTTTAAGACTTGATGTAACATTCAGCCTCTCACAAACAAAAAAACACAAAACACTTTTAATTATCACAGCCTTCTGTTTTCCTTTTTATTATTTCCCCTCCTTTTTGTCGTTTCTCTTTGATTATATTGTTTTGTGTGACGGGAATCGTCTATGTCTGGGAGCGAAGTGGGGATATTAAGGAAGAAAGCTGCAGAACGTACGAAGGACATTTTCTTCCGTATCTCCAATACTCTGCCACAGGGGAAGCCTTTGTTGTGCAATTGTGTTTTCCTTTTTGTCGTGGCATTTATTTTTTTTTTTTCTTGCCGTTCACGTTGCTGGATTTGTCATGTCCTTGTGATTGTTTTATGTTGTGGACTTTCTCACTAACAAGTCTTCAGCGTATAAACTTTTGTGTTTATTGCAGGGAGCACATGGGTCCGTACATGATTCCAACAGGCTTGTTGCTGGTGGAGGAATTACCGAGGAATCAAATGGGGAAAGTCAACAAAAAGGACCTCCTGCGACTCTTCTTTCCATGACTGGACTCCTTTAAAATGAGGGACTCTTCTGGGATTTGCACTTTTTATATATAGATATATATATATATATATATATATATGTAATCCTTCACCA